CTATCCCCCCATCATTTGGGGATGACCTTCTCTTGTTTGCTCAGCTGGGTCATTTTCACTTCCCTGTCAAGGTTTAGCTTGGGCAAAATCTTCCCTAACCACCCAGACGAGCCACCCTCACACTCTGCTCTGGGCTCTCAGCCCTGGGGACACCCCTATTGGGGCACTCATCACACAGTATTAGGACTGATAACTTACAGGTGATAGCGAAGCGGGAACTGTGTTGTTGTTATTAATAATAATGATAAACAGGCAGACTGCAGAGAGGAGGGAAGAATAGAAAAATATTGGCATCTACACTGAGCCAGGCACTAGGCTCCCCCTGCAACCTCACCAAACCCAAGGCACTTGGCTTTATTATCTCCAAATTAGAAGTCATGAGACAGAGGCACGGGGACATTGAGTGACTTGTCTAAAACCAAGCAGGCCCTGGGTGGCAGGGTCGGGCTTCTGTCCAGTCCTCCCTGACTTTGGAGAGGACAGTCTGGAACACTGGTCAGAGCTAGCTGCTGTGTGGTCACACGTGCCCTGCTGGAAGAAGGCAGAAAACAGGCGCAAACAGGGACATGGCACGTGCACTCGGCCTCCCCACTCTCTCCCCTGGAACCTTCCTTTCTGCGTGCAGATGTCTGCCCCTAGGGAACAGCAGCATCGCTGGCAAGCCTGGGTACACTCCACTGTCTCCCCAACTTCCATGGAGTGCCATTGCTCGCTTTGCTCGTACCAATGCCTGGGTGGAGCTGAAAACCCAAGGCCTCAAAGCCATCCCTGCCCAGGCCTATTGCCCGCAAGATGCCCACCTGGTGTCCGGGGAGTGGGTGGGGATCCCAAGCAACGTAGTAGAAGGAGGCAGCAGGGGGCTCTGTGGGAGAGCAGGGCACCTGCCAGACCTCTGAACTGGGCAGTTTCCCCACCAGAGCCTCCAGCACTTTATCTTGAGAAATGTGGTCTGTGGGGCACAAAGCAGACAGGCGCTCTGCGATGGGAACTGGGCCCAGATGTCAGAGCCACCGTGACACCCTCCGTGTCCTCCTGCTCCAGAAGACAGCACTTTCCCGCTCTGAGATTCCGGGCGGCCTTCGTGTTTCACCCAGGTCATCCTCAGCCCCGCACGCTGGGGCCCTCGCACTCCAGGAGGAAATGCTGCTGGGAAAGGCACTCGGACCTGGGACCCCGGTGTGGATTTGCAGAAAGAGCCACGGTCAGCGTGGACACTTGGTCCCTAAAGAAACAGCCATGGACTGTGTCTGATGCAGGGAACCTCCTCTCCTTTCCCTGGAAGCACCTGAGTTCCTCTGGGGGGTCCTTGTGCCTACTGTGTGAGCCTTTGTGGGCGGGTCTGTCCAGGCACTGGAGTGGACAGGCCTTTCCTCACCACCCCAGTGTCACCAGTGGCAGGCACATGGCGTAAACACAGCCACCTCAGACCCTGACCCATCGGCGCAGCCAGGACTGAAGACCTGTGGGATTCGGCCTTCCCCGCTCAGAGCACCTACCACTCTCTGTTCCTGGCTCCGGGGGCCCTGAGCAGCCCCGCCGCCTGCCCCTTCCACACGCATCGCTCCAGCTTCGCATCGGCTGATTCTGTGTGGCCCCACAGCCTCTGGTCATTTCCCCCTTTGTCTGCATTTGTCAGAGCTGGCTTCTGCCACCTGCCATCGGGCACTCTGGAAAGACATGCCCAGCAGTGGAGAAGCCGTGATAGACCAGCAGTCACTCGCCAGCACGACTTAGGGCTCCCGTCTGAATGCCTGTAGTCAGTGGGCTTGCCTCCCTGTGGTAGCATCAAGGTAATACCGGAATAAGGATGTTAGCGAAACGACTTCTAGGGATCACCTAACTCGACCCACCAAACATAAGCACAAGTTGTGGGTTTAGCAACTTTTTGTCCAGAGCGCCAAAGCAGGCCTCTCCACCCCTTCCCCCATCCTTGTAGGTTCGGAGGAAGGCCTAAGCTTGCCTGTGCCCAGATGCCTGCAGTGCCAAGCAGTGATGGTCTGGGAGGCCAAGTGGATCAAGTCTGCAAGGGGCAGACAGCTTTCAAAGGGCTGGAAGGGTGGGGTTTGCCAAGCAACTGCCAGGCTAGAGAAGAGGCCCGAGTGGGAAGAAGACCGAGCGTCCTCGAATCCCAGCCCCTTCTGGGGCCTGGCTCCTTCCGGCCTGACCCAGGAACCAGACTCAGACTATTGGTGGATGCGGGGATCTGGGGCTAGAACTGGCTCAAGCCGCAGCCCCACTATTTAGTGGCGGTCGGAGCCCATCAAGAATCAGAGGTGTGGCCTGGCTGACTGAGATGGCTGGGGGCTGGCTGGAGGACACGCGAGGCCTGTCATGAAATTGGCGCATCTCTCCACTAGATGGCACTCACAGTATAATTTTCCTCATTTTAAATTCTATCTTGATGAAAAATTGTGATTTTTTTTATACTGTTAAAGAGCATGAATAGAGCTATGACTTAAAATTCATGTAACTGATGTCATGCATTATCATTCTTGGGTTTCTATCACATGTCCAAGAGTTGTCAAGTTTCCCTCCCTCTGAGGTATTGGGTGTGGCAGACGTGCGCTGCAGCTCGGCTTTCCGGGGCCAGAAAGATGCATCCAACGGAAGCGGAAGCGACTAAGTCTTTCTTTTCAGCGCTTCCCAAAGGCTGCCTGGGGCTCTGCACTGCCTACCACCTGACCTGCTTTCCCTGAGTGGTCTCGCAGCTACCCTCCACCCCCACCCCCGGCTTTCAGGAGCAGCTGCACATCCAAAGGCAAGAGGGCGGCGCTTGGAACCTGCATACATTTGGTGCTTCGACCACTGCTGTGCTTGGGAAAAAGGGGTGTGAGGAGCCTTTCCTTCTATAACCGTGTCCTGAGACCTCTCGGGCCCACGTAGGAAAAATGCCAGACCTGTACCAGGTACCTGTGTTGAAAGGCAGCATAAGTGTGTGGCTTTGGAAGTCAGACTGCCCAGGTAGAAGCCCTGACCCTACTGCCATCCAGCTGTGTGTCCTTGGGCAAGTCACCAATCATTTCTAACCCCCGATGTCCTTTTTTATAAAATAGGCATGGAAGTACCCCTTACCTTAGAGGGATGTTTTGAGTACTGTGGTAGCAGAATAATGGCCCCACAAAGATGCCCACGTCCTAAGCCCTGGAACCTGTGAATATGTTCCCTTATGTGGCAAATGGGTCTTCCCCACAGAGTCAAAGAAATTCTTGTAAATAGCTCTGACCCAGATAAAGAGCATGCGCACTGGTGACCTTTCCCATCCGGTCCCTGGGGGCACACGTCCAGTGCCTTTCTGACTTCATGGTGGTGCGTGCTGACCTCCACCTTGTGGCTCTGGCCTCACCTCAGCCCTCCCCAACTCCCAGGCCCAGGCCCCCGGCCCCTCCCCAAGCCTTCCTTCCATGTGTCCAGCTCCCCCTCCCCTACATGGCAGGGCCCTGCCTACCTCACTCCCCTCCTTCATTTCTTCTCTACCTTCTTGGCAGAAACCTTTACTCCTGTTCCATAATCAACCAAGCCTCTATTTTCCACTCCATACCCTGGGATCCCTCTGTTGCCACCTTCTAATGTGTCCTTTCAGCAACAAGATTCTTGCAGTAGATGAAATACCCAAATGAAACCAGGTACTTGAATTCTGCATATGCGGCAGGCAGTTGGGAGGGTCTCCCTGCACTTCACCTGCAGCCTGTACCTCCTGGAGTTCCCAGTATGGACAGAGCAAAGGTGGGCACACCCTGCCCCAGGCTTGGATTCGCTCAGTCCTGCTCCCAGTGGGCCATAGCTTGCTGGCCTGAGCCTGGGCTGATGCGTCCCCTGGTGCACAGCCCATAGCCAGGTCACTTTGTCAGAGGGGTTGTGTGGCTCTGCCTCTCTGAGACTGTAAACTTACTGGCTCACAGACCCCACAGGCCCTAGCACACTCGATCCACAGCCACCACTTCCCAGAAGGAAGTCTAAATTCGATTGGCACATGATAGGGTGTGATGACTAGCTGCCTGTAGCCTCTGCTCTCGGTGCTCTGCCCAGACCCCTGGGCACTCACTGCTCCCAAACACACTGGCAGCCTCTTTCCTCAAGCACCTGCGACTCTGCCTGAAGGCCTTCTCTGAAGGCAGGGAGCTTGGCCAAGCGCAGGGTGGGCCAGAAATGCCAGAGTCAGCCTCCCAGGGAGCAGCTCTCAGTTAATGGCCGGTGGGACTTGGTGGGTAAACCCCCAGCCTCCTCACTTCTTGGGTGAGACACCTCTGAGTCTGTTCATTGGAACTGAGCCCCGGGCACCCACAATGGCACCAGCTCACCCTGCTGGCTCTCCCTTCCTGCTCCCTTTCTCGTGCTTTTTGGGGATCACCTCAGGATGAACTGCTCAGATCCTTGCCTGAGGCTCTGCATCAGGGGGAGGCCAAGCTTAGTAAAATACTACCTCACCAGCCAGCCCCTCTGTAAACTGACTCATTTGCAAGACACATTTACTTAGTTCAATAAGAATCACATTTTAAAACTGGGAACTTTAAAAACCTGCTTTGTAACTGCTAACATGATGGCGGTTCTTTGAGTTAAATTATTGCCCTTCCTCCCACCACATTGCAATGGTTTGTTCTGGGATTCATGACAGAGCTTATTTTAATGCTCTGAACCTGTGCTAGTGGTTTTCCCTGGACTTATTTGCATGTGACCCAGATATTGTGTTTGGACCTTCACTCTAAGGTGTCCCCATGGATTGGTTACCTCCCTTGTTATATTTTGAACTTAAAAATCCACACTTTCCTCTCACCAGAAGCTAATTACCTAGATAATTGACTGGATTTTCTAAATTCCCCCCAAATGTGTAATATCCTCTAGATTTGGCCCAAATTTCCGAATTGTGCTTGGAGACAGCGCTGGCGTTCTCACAGAGAGGAGTGTTGCGGAGGTGGCCCTTCCCAGGCCAGAGGTGCAGTGACACTGCCATTGGGGCCACCAGGGCCAGCCCCAGCAAAGAACTGAAGGGTGCTCAAGCCTACCTGGGCTGATCTCAAAGAGGTGCTTTCCCGGGTCCTCAGGGCCAGGAAGAAGTTCAGTCACCTGGGTCCCTTGTAGAGAAATAAAGCCCTAAATAGAGAGACAAACACAAACACGAGAGCATGAGATGGCTGGGAAAGGACTTCTGTGGTCAGGGCTCTGGGGAGCAGAGGGTGGAGCCACGGGTCAGAGTCCCAGCCCTCCAGGACCTGGATGGGCAGGCTGGGTGCCGGGAGGAGCACAGGCCTCCTCTCCATGGCAGGGACCGAGCACAGATGAGGCCTTGCATGGGGTCCCTGCTCGAGTGGGCCGACACTACATTCTGACACCCTTGGAGGAGCTCTGCCCACAGAGGACTGCCCAGGGTTGTCACTCTCCTGGTTAAGGCACGGTAAGCCCAAGTCAGGAGCAGGGAGGAAGGCTCCATTATTGGGGCGGGGGCGGGGGGGGGGGGGAATGTGCCCATTTGCAGGCTTTCTGGGGCAGGAGAGTCAGGGAGAGGAAGGTTTCTTGTACGTAACTGTCCAGGCGGTAACATGGGGGAAAGGATGCACAGATCTGTGTGAGCCCATTTTTGCCCCCTCCTGGCTGGGTGAGATTTCATTTCTTTACCTGTTACGTGGGAGTCAGCTACCACGAAGAAGGTACCATACCTACAGTCTAACTGCCTGGGTTCAAATCCTGGCTCACCTACTTACTGGCTGTGTGACCTCAGGCAAAGTATTTAACCTCTCTGTGCAACTTCCCAGTTTCCTTATCTGTGAAATAGGAATAACAATAGTCCTTTTCAGGGCTGTTGTGAGCATTAAGTGAATTAGTACTTGGGAAGCCCTCAGAGCAGTACCTGGCATAGTGAAAGCTGTTTATTTGCTAAATAAACCCCAGCTATTACTGTGTGTCAGGGCTCCACACTGGGTGGGGGAACAGCATCCCTGCATCTGCACTTGCCCAGGTGACTGGCGCGGTCACCTGCTGTATCCACATGGTTGCCTCCAGTCCCCACCCCCATGTGTACTCATGGAGCGCTCTTCTTTCCACTCCCATCTTTTCCAGGCAATTCCTGGCTTTCAAGGTGACTGGAGGCTCCCTGTGGCTGCTGGAGTCTTGTGCTGCACGGACACATGGAGATGCCTTTTCTCATTTAAGCACCGTAAAGGCAGAACGGCGTCTTTACCTACGGATGCTTGCTTTAGAGAAATTATAGCAATAAATCAGGGAACCAGATGGTAATCTCTGTAACTGAACTAACGGTTTCTTTCTAGGGAACCTAGGGCTAGTGGGAATAAATCAGGGCTGCAACTCCAGGATGGGGAAACGTGTTCATTACAGGATGTGGATGAGATCCATCACCGGCTAACGGGAAGGGTCTCTGGTGTCTGCTGTTTCAGTAACCGTCTCTGAGTACTTCTGAGCACTTTGGTTTTTTCCCTCTATACCTCAGTATCTGTCATCTGTAAAATGGGAGTAACAATATTGACATTGACATTACTTTCTACTCCAGCTAAATGGAAGAGCAGTAATAACCCCTGTTTACAGAGCTTGTACTATATTCCTGGCTCTTTGTCTAAACTATTGGATTTAATCTTTCTAGAGGCCCCACAGGGGTGAGTACTACTATTCCTATCGTCTTGGACAAGCAGATGGAGGTCGGAGAGGTGAAGCAACCAGCCTCCTTGTCCCACTGCTGGCAAGGGCAAGCTGGGATGTGCGCTCTGGGGGTGTCTGATGATGGAGCACTTTCCCTCCTATATTTGTGACAGCAGCTGCCGGCTGACTTTGTGCGCAAGAAGCTGCCCTGGAGAGCCAGGCTGTGCCTTTGGGACCCATTGCTCATCACTCACTCAGAAGAATCCCAGTGTGGCCCCCATTACTGCAAGGGGCCCTCAGAACTGGCTTTTGGTCACCCAGATCCGTCCTGCTTCCCACGGGTTGAGAGCATGGCTTTGATCCCAGCATTTTGCTTAGGCACTTGGGGGTGGAGGGCTGGGAGGGGGGAAGAAAAGGGGAGGGGAGAGGAAGGGGCAGGAGAGCAGAGGGAGTCTGCTTTCCCGTTTCCAGTATGTCATTTGTTAAGACTGTGATGAAAGACACGTAGAAGTCAGTACGAAGCATCCAGCTGAGACCCTCGGGCTAGGTCTCAACCTTGAGAGGGCATGAGAGTCACCCCAGGGCTTGTTAAAACACAGAGTACCAAGTTTGGTGGCCTTGCAGTAAGTGTTTAACAACAGGTTCTCCAAAAAAATAAGGCAAGCTGATTTGTAGTGTTTGCCAACTTCTGTGATATAAATACCCTCCATGGCTGATTTCATGTCGTCATTGAATGTGGCACTGGGAAGAAATGCACCGCAGTATTCCTGCCACATGGATACCATAGGGGTCAACAGGCTCTAGAGCACAGATAGGAGTAAATGAAATCAAACAATTAGGGGGTGATACATTTTGAGGACTGATTATCTTTATCTTTTTAATGTATTTTATTGAAGTATAGTTGATTTACAACATTGTGTTAGTTTCAGGTGTTCAGTAAAGTGATTAAGTTATATATATATGTGTGTGTTTATATACATATTCTTTTTCATATTATTTTCCATTATGGTTTATGACAAGATATTGAATATAGTTCCCTGTGCTATACAGTAGGACCTTGTTGTTTATCCATTAATTACCTTTGTTTTTAATATAATTTATTTAATTGTAGGTCTGTATGATTTAATTTCTAATAGTGGAAATGTTTAGCAACTGGCTGGTAAGCATAGCACTAATAGAACTACCCCTGGGGTTTCTGACTCTATAGGTCTGGAGAAAGAAGGAGAATCTGGGGATTTCTCTGATGGTCCAGTGGTTAGGACTTGGCACTTTCACTGTCGTGGCCCGGGGTTCAATCCCTGGTTGGGGAACTAAGATCCCACAAAAGGTGCAATGTGGCCGGAAAAAAAAAAAAAAAAAAAAAAGAGAAACAAAAGAGGAGAATCTGCATTTCTAACCAGGTTTCTGATGCTGCTGGCCCCCCGGGGATACACGTTGACAACCACTCTCTAGGGGCACTTAGAGTAAGTAGCCAAAGGAAGGTGCCTTTTCCATAAGCTTATTCAGCACATCAGTTTCCTCAAGTGTAAAATAAGGATAATAACAGTATCTACCTCATGAGGCTGTTGTGAGGGTTAAAATGATCTGATATTTTCCTGCTGGCCTTGGAGAGCCAGGTTTTGGTTGAGCTGCTGTGCCTTGGGCACATGCAGTTCCGAAGGACAAGGAGTACCTCCAGCCACTCAGATCGTGCCCTGGACTAGAGGGGTCCAGGATTTTCCTGAGGAGCCCAAAGTGAGTGTTAGCACTTTGGAGGGGGTGGCTGGTTTCCTTCCTGCTGGGCCTGGGAAGGGACCAGACACATCATTTGCACCTACAACTGCGCAGATGGGCAGCTGGGTGCAGAAAGAGATCGTGCAAACTCCAGTCACACGACAGCTTCCCACAAAGGTTAGTCCCCTCTCCCCCTCCCCCTGCATTTGAGCTTATGTGCATTTGCTCTGTTTTGCTACTTACTCAGCCTGCATATCCAAGTTTGTCCTGAGAGGCTGCCAATGACTTCATTCATCTCCAACTTCACACCAGTGCAAGTCCACTGGTGTAAGGGAGTAACGGTCAAAGGATGTGCTATTCTGTCTGTGTGTAACTGAGCTCCACTCCAGGCCTGCTGCTGGCTCACCATAGCTCCTTCCCCAACCCTTGTGAATGTACCAGCTTGAGAGGATCTGTGGGTAGCCAGTGGAGGCCCCAGACAAAAGTTCCAGAAACTCCTTCTCTCGGAGAGCAACTTTGGGAGAGAGTATATTTCTTATATTAGTGTCAGCTTAGATGGTTTATTCAAAATCCATCATTTCTACAGCGTAATAAATACAAACTCCAGGAGCACTGCAGGTGGAGGGGAAGCAGCCCAGTGATTAGCCTTGCTCCCTCTCATTTGTCTAAACCCAGCAATGGGGCACCTAGGATGTGGTACAACCTTCAGGGACTGGTGAAGATGCTCAGAATTCAGAAAGCTTCCTATGTCAGATTCTGAATGTCTTAGTTATCTATTGCGACATAACAAATTACCCTAAATCTTGGTAGGTAAAAACAACAATAAACCTTTATTCTCTTACAGGGTTTCTGTAGACCGGGAAATTTGGAATGGCTTAGCTGGGTGTTTCTAGCTTGGGGTCTTTTATGAAATGATAGTCAAGATGTTGGGTCGAACTACAGACATCTGAAAATCTGACTGAGGCCAGAGGATATGGTGACTCCCTCGATGGCGGATGTAAAAAAAAGTCTCAAATCTACATTCTAGAGATGAAAAGTACAATGTGCAAATAAAAAATACAATGAGTGGGATTAACAGCAGATTCAATGTTGCAGATGAAAAGACTAGAGAACTTGAAAATATAGCCATAGAAACTACTCAAAATGAAACAAAGAGAAAAGAGAAGTAAAAAGAATGAACAGAGCATCAGTGAGATGTGGGATAACTTCAAGCAGTGTAATTTACATATAATTCGAGTCTCTGGACAAGGAGGGGGGAACTGAAAAATATTTGTGAAGAAATTATAGCTGAAACTTTTCCAAATTTATGGACAGTATAAACCCACAGATCCAAGAAGTGCAATGAGTCCCAAGCATAAGAAACATAAAGAAAAGTAAGTATATGAAGGCATAATCAAATGGCTCAAACCCAGTCATGAAAAGAAACTCTTAAAAGCAGCCAGAGGTGAATGATACAATATGTACAGAGGAGCAAATGTGAGGATGACAGCAAATTTCTTATCAGAAACAATGTAAGTTAAGAAATCAGTGGAACAACATCTTTAATGGTACTGAAAGGAAAATCTGTCAACCTCGCATTCTGAATCCAGTAAAAGTATCCCTCAAAAATAAAGGCTAAGTAAAGACCTTTTAAGATACACAAAACAAACAGGAAATAATGCAACATCAGCAGACTCATACTGCAAGAGTTGTTAAGGACAATTAGGCAGAAGGAAAATGATATTAGACAAAAAAGGAAAGGAATGAAGACTAATGGAGCAATAGGAAGTAGACGATTAAAGTAAAAAAAA